GAGAGAGAGAGAGAGAGAGAGAGAGAGAGAGAGAGAGAGAGAGAGAGAGAGAGAGAGAGAGAGAGAGAGAGAGAGAGAGAGAGAGAGAGAGAGAGAGAGAGAGTGTGTTAGTATTCCCAACACCTATGTTAGTGCGACGGCGGCGCGTGCATCGTGGACACAAAGCTCTACAATGTGTGGCGCAGTGAGAGACAGTTAAGGCCGCAATTTCCTCTCAACATCATCCAGTCTTTGCCGGATGGTGTAGTTTTAACTGCTGCCATAGCAGAGAAACCAGCCTCGGAGAGATAAGTTGTGGCGAAGGGCATCAAAACTCTCAAGGCTTGCTTTGCCAAGACTGCGTATGATGTCAGTGACTCGGTCCAAAAATCCACAAGTGGCTTTCGTTTGAACTGTAACTGCAGTGCTCCATCAGATGACAGCTCGATCAGCTGCTCCTGCTCGTGAAATGACAGCTGTGGGACGGGCAGGGAAACTTCAAATGGATTGCGAATCCAAGCGCCAGATGTGTCCATAGGTGGAAAGTGTTTCCGTAGCTGCTCGGCGAGTTGGTTGAGGTGTTCAATTATGAGCGTTTTTACATGCTCACCCAGGTGCACGTCATTTTCCCCCAAGAACTCGTGAAGCGTAGGGAAACACAGGTGTGTGTTCCCACTCACACAACTTGCCCAGAACCGTAGCTTCTTTATCATGGCCTCAACCCTGTCTTGTGTGTTGAACACAGTTACACTGACTCCCTGCAGACTTAGATTGAGTTCATTCAGAGCTGAGAAGATGTCCGCTAGATAGGCGAGCCTTTTCAGAAAATCTTCGTCATGCATACTGGAGGCCAAATGAAACGGATTCTCCTCAAAAAACTGCTGCAATTCGTGCCGGAGTTCAAAGAGCCTTGTCAGCACTTTGCCGCGGGACAGCCAACGCACCTCTGTGTGCAGCAGCAGTGATTTGTGTTCGCTGCCCATCTCGTTACATAACAGTGTGAATATTCGTGAATTTAGTGGACGAGCTTTAATGAAGTTCACCAGTTTGACTGCGTCGTTCAGCGCTGCAAGTAGATCAGTTGGCATGTTTTTGACTGCGAGGGCCTCTCTGTGAATACTGCAGTGTAACCAGCTGATGGATGGGCAGACTCTCCTAATATGAGCTATAAGCCCTGTGTGTTTCCCCGTCATTGATTTTGCCCCGTCTGTGCAAATTCCCACACAGCGCTCCCAGTCAATGCCATTGGTCCTCATAAAAACGTCAATTAAATTGAAGATTTCCTGTCCGGTTGTTCGGGTAGCAAGGGGCCGACAGAACAAAAACTCTTCTTGTACCGATCCTTCAAAAAGGTAACGGACATAGAGAAGAAGATTGGCCAGATTTGCAACATCTGTAGACTCGTCTACTTGCAGAGAGTAAAACTCACTTTTCTTCACACGGCTGAGTAGTACAGCCAGGATGTCTTCAGACATGGCATCAATGCGGCGCGACACAGTGTTATTGGACACAGGAATCATGTCCAACTTTTTTGCCTCTTTCTCTCCAATCATACACTCCACCATTTCTTTGGCCGCTGGCAAACACACGTCTTCGGCCATTGTGTGCGGCAGCCCCTTTCTCCCTAGTCTGTAACTGAGCAGATATGAAGCCCGTAGTGCATCTTTCGTAGACCCAACGCATGAATGAAACTGCATTTTCTTTTGGCTTTTCTGCAACTCCTCCAATTTCGCTTTAAAAAATGTAAGGGGCTTGTGACTTAAATGGCCATGTTTCGTGTGCATGTGACGACGGAGATAAGATGGCTTCAGACAGCTGTTTGCTAGAACCTCACTGCACAACACGCACTGCGGCTTCGGACAATCTGTATCGCCAATCCAAGTGAAGCCCAGACCCAGATAATTGTCATCATATTTTCTTCTTTTTTTTCCCGTCTGGTGTTCACCCTCATCACTTCTTTTTTGGCATCTCCTACCCTGCTCTTCGGTTTCCTCCCGTGCATCTTCTGACTCCCGCTCATTTGTTGCCTCCAAATCCTCTCTCTCTCTTGGTCCCTCTCCTCCTTCGTGAATAATAACTTTATTATAAGACGTCCCACTTGACAGTTTCCCTGATTTCAGCCAGTTAAGCATATTTACACAATCAATGAAACGAGTTGGCGCGCATATTGCCTAGCGGCTGCAGTGTATGGAAGAAGAGCATGCGTAGAAGAAGACAGCTGCTGTCTTCTTCTACGTTTCTATCAAAAAGTAATATATTATAGTATTTATATTTAAAATAAAAGCGATTACAAAGGAAATGTTTACTTACTTTCATGCTTTTTTATTGTATGGAAAAATCCCACTTAAAAAAACTGACCGCCATTATATTTTTCCTCTCGCGCACCCCCTGGTGGCAGCTCGCGCACCCCAGGGAATGGCTGCCCTAGAGTAACATGTAAGGTGCTGGTTAAAGTCGTTTCTGTGGAGGAGGTGGATGGAGGAGTGTATGTGAGGAAGGTCACCCATGCAGAGGTTAAGGACGTAGAGGCGGATGAATCACTGTCCGTTCCGGTACAGGCCAATCTCCAGGGCCTGACACCACCACAGGTGCAGAAGTTGGACCACCTTCTCAAGAAACACCAAGATGTGTTCTCCGAACATAACAGTGATTTTGGATACATAACTACAGTGACTCACCGTATTCGGACTGCGGATGCAAGGCCAATTAAGCAAAGGCATTGGCGGATAGCCCCACATATATTCCAAGCGTTTAAGAAACACGTGCATGACTTGGTTGCGCAAGGGGTACTCAAAGAAAGCTGCAGCCCGTGGGCCTTCCCGCTGTAATTGTCATTAAGCGAGACCAGTCTGTACGGTTCTGTTGCGATTACCGTAAGTTAAACAGTGTCACCTTGAAGGACGCCTACCCTCTCCCAAGGGTCAAGGAGTCGTTGGACGCCCTGGGAAAGGCTAAGTTCTTCTCCTCTTTGGATTTGACAGCAGGTTATTTTCAGGTAGCAGTTCATGCAGACGATCAGGGGAAAGCGGCTGTTACCACACCGTTTGGCTTATACCAGTGAACCCGAATGTCATTTGGTCTGTGCAACGCCACATTTCAGAGGCTAATGGAGGTCGTCCTAGGCGATCTGACATTTGACCTTTTACTTATATATTTGGACGATGTCCTAGTCTTCTCTAGTGATTTCGACAGCCACTGTGAAAAACTGGACCTGGTGTTCAGTCGTCTTAAGGATCATGGGCTGAAGCTTAAGCCAATTTGACGTTTTACTTATATATTTGGACGATGTTCTAGTCTTCTCTAGTGATTTCGACAGCCACTGTGAAAAACTGGACCTGGTGTTCAGTCGTCTTAAGGATCATGGGCTGAAGCTTAAGCCAAGCAAGTGTTTCTTGTTTAAGTCGGAGGTCAGATTCACACATTGTTTCTTCGGAGGGTGTTCAAGTGGACAGGGAAAAGGTCCAAGCACTCCAGGATTGGCCGGTGCCCAGGAGTACCAAAGATGTGCGGCAAGTGGTTGGGTTTATGTGTTACGTGCCTCGGCCTGCTTGGGGGAGGGGGTGTGTGTGTGTGTGTTTTGATTTGTGTTCCCACAGGCGTTCTGACACACCCACCATGCAGTAATCTCCACTGCCCGCTCCCACCTGCAGCCACTAATCACCCTCACCCACAGCCAATCAACTGCAGGATGCCGTGGCTTAAAAGGAGGTCGGGAGGGAGAGACAGGGAGAAAGAGCTGGTGGAGAGAGCGGAAGGACTGTCGCGAAAATTAACTTTTTGTAGGAACTATTGTTTTGAGCGGAGCTGGGTTCAAGTGACAGTTCTTGTGTTTTGTTTACATATGTATTTGGTCATTTGAACTGGTGAAGGTTAAGTTATTGTTGTTATTCTGTCTGTGGTTATCACGTTGTTTGTACTATTCATTTTTTGTTTCTTCAGTTGTCCCAGGGAAAAGGGGACCGCACAATGGGAGTGTGTGGGTAAGAGACCCTGGGGTTTACATACTACCCGTAGATAAACCTCTGTCTATATACACTAGGTAAGACCTGGGCGGACCACCCCCTGTATTTATCAGAGTTTAGCAGATTGTGTTTAGACTAGATAGTTTAGGGGTCTTTTTCATTGGTTAATATCTTTGCTTTGGTTCCGCTCAGCCCCTTTTCCCCCACTACCGTATTCTAGGTGAAATAAACCTTGTTTAAACGATACTATGTTTTGTTGGTCCTGCTTGTGCGCCCACGCAATTTTTTTCACCTCACCCACCTTTTGGCCAGCTCACGTGTGACGGCGAGTTACGGTATCCTCTCTTGAGAGGAGGGCGTAACATTATGTCTTACTACAGGCGTTTTGTCCCGAACTTTGGTCAGTTAGCAAAGCCGTTATATAGGAAAATATCGGGTAAGTTGCACATATAAACGCTTATGCCTGTATTTTGTCCCTTAGGTCACCATCGTGACATTTACAAATCCTAGGGCCGAAACTACTATATTCGTTACACATCGGCAGGTTAGGCTTGAGACTAGTAGTCCTGGGGTTTAGGGACTGAGATCCTTTTTTATCTCCAGGCATTCAGGGAAGACTTACTTACCCCTACTAAGCAGACGGTGGTCCCGTTCGCTACACATGGAATCTACTCGCGCAAATAATTCGCTTCTGGTGTGAACGTACCATTAGCGTTCTTGAGTGAGCCTAGAACTCTGGTGACAAAAGATTCAGGGACAGAGATAGCATTCAAAATGTATTTACTCACAGAAAACATCAAGGACAGTCACATGCCAAGAACAAACTTGGCTTCCTGTTTCCCTCGTCACATTTCGCCTGCTGTCTCGGAGTAGTGAACCTAGTTTTCACTTTCATTTTAAGTTGCTTCATTGAAGTACTGTTATCTTTGTTAACTTCTTTGGATAATCCCATATTTTCGAATTACCTCAACACATGAAAACATGTTGCACTTAATCTATGCATCTATGTGTTACCTTACCTCCATTCAGTTCAGACACAATTACTAACTTCCCACTCAGGTGACGTACTTGACCCACGCCTGTATGGAGCTGAAGCTTGGACAGAGGCGGTTCATGTTTGACCCGTGGCTGAAGGGTCCTGCATTTGCCAGAGGCTGGTGGCTTCTCCATGAGCCTCCAGCAGACTCCCTGGACAGACTGTGTGCAGCTGATCTCATCTACATCAGCCATATGCACTCCGACCACCTCAGGTAGACTTTGGCTGTCTCTTCCCCTGCAAAGACAACACATGACAAAAAGGCCTTATCTGTAGAGTCGCACATTTAGAGGAACAAGTATAAAATCCAACTCCTGTTCTGTTGTCTGTTGAAAACATAGGCATTTATGTAACTAAATCGTTTCTAGCACTCCCAATAAAGGCTTGAATGCATATGTAATTTTTGCATCTTTGCCGATAGCACTTTTGAGCTAAGTCAAGGTGGTGACTTCTTCCAGCTCTGCTTCTTCTTCTCTTTCTTGGAAAAGGTTTCCAGCAGGTTTGCCTTGCAAGCAGTCACATAAAACTGCTTTGTGCATAAAATACACACATGAACAAACAAAACTTACAAACATGGATTCATTTTCGGAAAGACATCAGAGTAATGGGGTTGCCTCATAGGACGGCCCCCTGAGCCCCTGAGGGGTTTGCGTGCGTTTCAAGCAGGTTGGTAGTGTTTTGGGATTTACATTTAACTTGTGAGGTGAACAATAATCAGACATTTTTAAAAATAATGTATGTTGCCCTTTTTACTTTTTTAGTTACCCGACGCTGAAAGTCTTGTCAGAGCGGAAACCAGATATCCCAATTTATGTTGGTGACACATCCAGACCAGTCTTTTGGTTGGTAAAGGGATCGAGCCAAGTTGAATCCATATTATTCTAAAACAGATTCTTATTTCATCATTGGTATTAACCATTGTTCAATTGTCTCTCTTGGTCTTGATGCAACAGGTATATGGAGCAAAGCCAAATCAAGCTGACAAACATCCATGTTGTTCCTTTTGGTGTCTGGAATAATGTAACCACTGCTGCTCACATCTCACCAAAATATTAGAATGTTTTATAAAGTGTTGTACTTGAATAAAATAGAAATGATTACACTAAAATCTTGTGACATACTAATAATTATAATAATAACATTTTAATTTTCATTCCCTAACCTTTGTTCTGAATCAGATTGACGCAGACCTAAGGTTTATGATCCTGATGGATGGAGTGCACCCTGAAATGGACACCTGTATCATTGTTGAATATAAAGGTGCATACTTTTCAATGTGTTTCGTATATTGAATACTAGTTGCGGCCCGAAACATACAATTCAATTGTTAAATGCATTTGTCGCAGGTCACACAATCCTGAACACCGTGGACTGTACCAGGCCAAACGGGGGCAGGTTACCACAGAATGTGGACTTGATGATGAGCGACTTCGCTGGGGGGGCATCTGGATTCCCCATGACTTTCTGTGGTGGGAAATACAGTGGTGAGGCTCAAGTCAGTGTTTGGGAAAGTCTCCCCTCTGCCAACCTAAATTTAGTTTGAACTGGAACTACGGAAAGAGAAAGTAATGGTCTGATGTAAGATTTAAGCTTCTTCTTTAAGTTTCTATGCACATTTTGTGACGTGTTTAAAGTTCCATCATTTAAACCCAGGCAGCTTGATAAATATTTGACTCTTTATCAAAGAAATGTTGCTTTTGATTTCTCAATATCAGATCTTGCCAATGAAAGCATCAAAGACTAATCGAGGTTACTCCCTGTTTCATGTTCTATTGTACACACAATTAAAGATAAATGCTTGTCTTTTAAGTTTGGTTATTTTCAATTTGAGTGTAAACTGAAATACAAACAAAAAAACATTACTAATTACAGGTGTTCTACATCCAATGTCACTGTGGACCCCCCTGCTGACACTATATACAGTAACACAAAGGTCTTTATCTATATGCCCAGACTCCTGGAAGGCAGAATTTATCAAGAACGAAAGGAAGAAGCTGCTGAATTACAAAGCTCTGCTGGTGAAGTCCCTGCAGCCGGCAATTTACTGCCCGTTCGCTGGCTTCTTTGTGGAGGCCCATCCATCAGACAGGTACTTTGTTCAGAGGGGTTGGCCAGGATCTGTACAAGAACAGCAGATCACAATAATGTACAGCAAGGATAAATTACTTTGAATGATCTTTATATTTCCCTCCTCTTTCTTTTAGCTGTATCAGAGTTTATATGAAGTTTGTCTTGGAATAAACCTGCACTTTGCTTAGTGGTATTCTTGGGTAGCAGTTGTTGTTTGTTTGTCTCTACTTTATGCGTGTGTGTGTGTCCAGATACATCAGGGAAACAAATGTTAAGAACAGTCCCGAAGACCTGAATGCTCTCATCAATAAGTTTGCACCAGACATCAAGACATGGACGCCCAAGCCGGGTGCTGTGCTGGACCTTGGCCTGGCTCTGAGAGACCCCACCAACAGGTACACTTGCCCTCAAGCAGTCTGCAGACTGGGCCGATCCAAACGGGCCGGAACCCAGTTAGGTAGCAGGCAACAGCAAATACACTTTGCTACTAGATAGTGTTTTAAACTAGCATCATCTCTTTTTTAACAAAATATTTTCCAGCCCGAATTACAAGCTTTTGTCTTGAATCAATGCATTGTTTCAAACTTGAAAGATTTAGTAACTACGGCCGGCAGGGCTTAGCAAAAGGTCAAATAACTTGGTGTCAATGCTTTTATTACACAAAGAAATGGAGGCAAAACTACAAACAAATAGAAAATTGAAATTATCATTGAAAATGCGAATACATAAAGACTAATACGTTTGATTTTATTTTCTTGTGAACATTTCCTTTTATCCATGACCAAACGCAGTGGGGCCATCACCAATCCCTCAGACAGTACAAAAATCTACAAGGACAGTTGGGATTTGGATCTGTATGTGGATGAACTAAACAGAGCAATCAACTGTGAGATATTTAAACATCAACGCTGGACCCAGTTTTATTACACCTGGGCAGGCTTCCAAAACTACAACCTTGTTGTGAGGGTAAATACACTTGACAGATCTTCTCTGACCTTTTGAAACCTCTATCGTGAACGCTAGTTGGGTCTTCTCTCTTTCCTGAGCCGTGTAGCATAAGAACATGGTCTGATACACTTGATTCTGGTGTTCTACTGAAGAGTTGTGATGTGAGTCTTTTAGCCGGCTGTAGATTTGGTTGGAGATTGGAGGTGGGAGAGGACTTTAAATGGGTTTAAGGACAACTTTGTTCCTTGTTTTATGGAATATCTGTATAATAGAATTATCTAAATATCGCTAGACTACACAGGAATGTCTTTATTTTTCTAATTCTGCATTCATTCGGAGATGAAATAAATAACCCATTTAAATATTTTAATGTCATGGTGGAGCTATATGAAAAGTTGGGGATCTACAAAGGTTACAAAGAATCATTTCCTTGGGAATGCACATCACGTCTTGCTTGAACGCACAATTCTGTAGAAATCTCTAATAGTTGTTGAATTATTTCATTCTGGACCAAAGTGGTGGAGCAACCCACAGGCTAGTGGGGCCATGACGCCACATGGGGAGGAAATCAGGTTACACTAAGATTTACAGCGCTCTGCTCGGTTTCCTCATCACTTTTTTCTTCCTCTACCTCTGTGATAATCAGTTTTTCATGAACTGGTCCCACTGGCTGACCCTACGTTACTTTCTTTCTGTTGCTTTCTTTTAAAAATGGATGTCTGTTTGATTAAAAGCCAATGTCCCAACATGTATATTCAAGATGATTGAGACAGATGACAGCTTTGAGCCCCATGCTGACGGCAGTGACTACCTGGTGGACTTCTTGGATCTGACGTTCCCCACAAAGAGACCTGAGCGGGAGCACGCCTACATAGAGGTGAGAGTCCATGGAGACAACACGGGACAACAAGTCCAAAATCATAGCAGATAGAGAGAAGATGTTGCATCCAGCGTCTTTTTTTTCTGAGCGTGCCAATTTTTATTAAGCAGCCATTTTGCACTGGTGACGTCACTATAGTAACTTCAGGAGAAGCTTGGGTGTCTGATGATCTTAAACTTATATTTCAGACTCGTAACAAAGCCTAAAAAGCCCTTTTGCGTGAGCAAAGATCTGTGATTTTTATACTATGCAGATTGTTTCTGACATACTGCCTCTCAAAGAAATACATACATGATATTTGTTTCCTGTGGATCCAAGTCTTCTCCATCAAAAAAGGATTTGATAAATATCTTTAGGAGATATGTTTCAAAGAGTTAATTGAGAAGCTTTTTTTTTAAACACAGTATTAACCAGGATGCATCATGTTTTTGTCCTTCAAGATTAAAAACAGGATTGGGGTGATGAGATATGTGGTGCAGCAGGGTCTTCTCTGGGACGATCTGTACATCGGCTTCCAGAACCGCATACGCAGAGACCCAGATGTCTACCACCACAAGTACAGCCACTTTAATATCAATACATCAAGATCATTGACAAACAGCAAACAATGACAGAAATGTGCCACAACAGCATTGAGCTTAATTATTTATGATCAGAGTTGTTGTAATGAAATATAGACATTGGAACTTGCCTCATCGTTATCTTCAAATGATATTGCAACTCTCTCTTCAACTGACACTTGGATGACCATGAAATATTCTGAGTGTTGATAAACTAATAAGCCATTTTTTCATTTGATCCAATTTACCTGACGATGAACATTATGTTTACTCTCGCTCTGACATTGAAAATATTCTCAACTTGAATCCGTCTCGTTGGTCTCCAGGTTCTGGAACCACTTCCAGACGCAGCTCCCAGTTCGCAGGCCAGACTGGGACCAGTTCCTGCAGGAGATTTCCCTCCAGGAGCCTGACACAGCAGCTCGGGGCCAAGGAGCTAATTGTGTAACGTCTTGAAAGACAGATGTGTTTCTGGAGATTATTTGTCTTCTATTACTGGCCTGTAATCATTTAATGGGTTTGTCTAATTTAATCTAAAACTGGAGATAATTTGTGTGCTACTCTGTAATCAATTATACATGAAAGTAATGAAAGGATCAGCCTTATTTACCACTTCATGTTTCTTTTGATTGCTTATATTTTGTTAAGCATTTCCTCCTTTGCAAATATCTATGTATCTTATGCACTATTTAATAAATGAGCCCCAAGGTGTTTTATGGCTAGATGACATTCTCAGGTAAAGAAGGGTTTTTATTTATAAATGTAACTTGCAAAGTCACACATAGAGGAATGAGGTGTGATGAGCTGCAATTATTTTAGTTTATAATCCTGCTAGGAGTCATTTGTTGGCCATCTAGTTTTATTGAAAGGGGAGATGTTTTTTTGTATGATGTATGATTAGTCAATAATGTATTCAGTGGTTTTTAGTAATAAATTTAATGATTAACCACTTTTTATTTTAATTGCTTGTATTCTCGAATGTCTATATGCAGTGATTTTCCAAACACCTGAGCCACTTGCTGAAATACACTTAAGTTCTGTTGCTGATAACATGGAGGAGCTGTTTGTTTTGGTCTCAGCTTCTTTTATTTATTTATTTTTTGTCATTTCAAAATGATTCCATTTTGATATTGTCTCACAAAAGAGCAAACTACCGAAATGTGTTGAAAAAAGTTGGCCGCAGGGATCAGGGATTCGTGTCCCGAAAAGTCAAACCCAAAACCAGACAAAATCCAGAGGTTTCCAGAATTAAAGATTTGAATGGACTTGACCGTGGATGTATAAAGACAAGTGGTACATAGTGTTGGAGGCTGAGGTTGTTTCATTTCAGTGGAAGTTACTCAGTGGAGCATGAAGCAAACCAAGTTCGATTTAGATCCACAGATCTTCTGCTTCATGGGGTACATAGAAGAAGCACGCCAACCCCTTCTTTAAGCCCGCCTTCCTGTTAGGATCCCTGTCATTGGATCAGTTTCCTTTTTTATTAAAAAAGTAAAAAACTTGCAATTCCATGGTCCAAGCCATGGCAACTTGGGATGCGACATCCAATTGTAGTGTTCAGTTTCAGTCAATGCTCAATTTTCTTCCTGACAGCAGTGTAGGACCAACCAGGGGACCAACATTCAACAAAGAAGAAAAGAAAGTGGGTCATCGGCCGTTCATATGAAGGCATGTCAATCTCAGTGATCTCTTGTAGCACTCATGAACATTATGGCAGTCTGATTCAATACAACCATTTTCCACCAACATGAATATGATTCAGAGCAGTGTATTTTTCCTCTAGGTTTCATGAAAACACATCTATTAAATATGACTAATACATTTTCTAACATTGATTGCGGGTTTGGTGGCAGTGTCCTAGTCTTTCCAGCAGAGGGCATTATTGGACCAACTGTGCTAACTTGGTGTCACTCAGAATCAAGTTCAGAATATTTTTTATTTGCCATGTATGCGTTTGAGTACTAATTTCAGTCCGGTTACATGTGGTCTCACCATACACACACAGTTTATCCGATGAACAAGAATACATCAAATAATTAAATTAGAAATAAATAGAAACCAATTATTTAACAACTATACAATATAAATATTCAAAAGTATACATTTAGTTGACTTTAGTTTGGTCTGAAGGGGCTACAGTGATCTTTCTGCCCGTTTCCTCACCCAACAGCTGCACAAGTCCAGCGTGGAGGGCAGGCTGATCCCGATCATTTTCTCTGCTGATGATCTTTTGTAGTCTGTGGTTTTGTTTAGTGGCCAATCCAAACCACACAGGGATGGTAGTGACGTGAGAACAGAGAATAGACTGGATGATGGAGTTAAAGATGTAACCCCGGTATGATGGTGTTGAATGCCAAGCCAAAGTCCATAAACAAACAGATCGCTGGCGAGTCAAGGTGGTGCAGACCCATGTTGACCGCATCACCCACTGACCTGTTTGCTTGGTAGGCAAACTGCAGGGCATTCTGCAGGGTCCGTCTGTTGATCTTCAGGTGGGTGTTGTGGAAGATTTTGCACAGACAATCGGTAAATAAGATTAAGGCTCTTCGGGCGATAGACAGGACTGATTGCCAGCCCATCACAGGCGGTGTGAGACTCCAGCTCAATTCTATATCATGGCAACACCATGCAGTTTATTTGCAGTTTATAACCTTGTTCATTCAATGAAACATTTTGAAGGGTTACATAATTTTTTCCATTACATGGGTCTACACCGTCCTCGTCACGGTGCGGCGGGACAGTGGGATGTTTTAAACGCTTCTTTTTTCTCTGGGCAGCAGTGCTGCAGACTCGACCACGCACTCTTTCACAAACTGCCCCTCAGAGAATGGCTTAGTGTTCTGGGCAATTTTGTGGCCTATCACAAAGCTGGTTCTGGTCGCTGCATCTCTGGCTGCATGCAGCTTTGTAAAACAGCCGTGTTGTTTTTCTAGCTTTGCTAGTAAATCCGTTGATCCGCGCTCGTTCGGCATCAGTCAAGTTTTTGTATTTAAGTTTGGTCTCGTAAAGCCGTTTCAAATTGTACTCTTTAAACACGGCGACATGCTCCCCACAAACCAAACACACAGGTTTACCTTTGACTTCCTTAAAGAAATAAATAGTAGTCCATTTTTGTTTGAAACAGAAGGTAGAGAGTTCAGGGGTGACCCGGAGGGGAGACAGGTTGTCAATCACACGCATTTCACGTGCACAGTTGACGTGCACCATGAGAATAAATGGGCTTCAAAATAAAAGCAATGCGGTTTTAGTTAGAAAATATGTTTTTTTTCTCTAAATCATGTAGTCTTTCGCGGGCCGGTCAGAATCATCCCGCGGGCCGCATTTGGCCCGCGGGCCGCATTTGGCCCGCGGGCCGCACAATGCCCAGGTCTGTCTTACAGGGTTATCTTTTAGCACGGCAGACAGTATTTCATGCTTAACTTGGGAGTGCAGACCACCAGCAAATTCTTCCAAATCACTAACAATTGACGAAACTACACTATTTGCCATTCCACTACCATGGAGTTTGGCAAGAATTGTAGCACAGATATCTTCTGTGTTTTCTTTGATACTTTGACCTGATCCATTGTTATCAAAATACCCAGTGTCAGGGCTCTGCACGACACTTGTTCCTGCAACTTCTGTTCCAACTTCTGTACCATTTTGTAAACTGTGAAAATCCGCCTGAAATGACTCTGAGGTTTCTGCATCACCACTTTGACAATCCTTATCATGCACACTAATTAAATGCTTTTTAAAACCTGAAAATTTTGAAAACTGACGCATACAATGATCTTGTGCACAAACTAACTTAAACCTAGTGCTTGGATAGAAACTGTGGCAGATCTGCAAATGAGTTATTAGGCACTGACTGGTAGCATACACTGCTTGACATACAAAACATTTAAACATATTCATATGTCATTCAAAAGTTTTGCCCACAACTCAAACTCTTGGAGACTCATCTGTTGTGGTAACATCAATGTTGTAGACCGTTGTCTGCAGAAAAGTGTAGAAATGGACTAGGGACTTCTCATAAGACAAGTTGAACACGTAGTGGGATTTAAACAGTTCATCAAAAGCACCGAACGAGCTGGTGGCTTGGCAGAGGATGAGCTGTTTGTCAACGGCGATGTAGAAGGTATCAATCGCCTTTTGGATTCGGCCAATGGCAAGGATGTATGGTTGTTGTCAGGACCAGATTAAAATGAGGACTCAGATGCAGAGGGTTTGGCGTCTTTATTCGCGTCGTGAAAAAACTTAACAAACGGCTATGAGCTATCAGCGTTTCCGACGAAAGTTAACAAACTAAAATCTCTCTTAAACGAGGAAAACGAACGGCTTCGAAAGCGCGCTAAAACTAAATCTAAGAAGCTCAAACTAAAGGTCACTCTTACTCAGAGGAAAAAACAAAAAGGGGTAATCATTCCGAGACAAGGCAATGGTATAAACAAATCCTGTGGCTGTGGCGAGGCTTGGGTGAACGCACGGTGGTACACTCAGGCACAAGACAAAGGGAGACGCAGACTATAAGACACATGAGGGTAATGGGAAACAGGTGGACACAATCAGGAATCAGGGGAGACGATTCGACTGGTGACATGAGGAAGGGCAAGTGACCTGAAACGAGAGGAAGGTTACTACTTTCAAAATAAAACGGAAATGACAAGACCAAAACATGCCGACAAAAACCCAACTTGACCTCACCCTGTGACAGTACCCCCCCTTCTAGGGCCGACTCCTGACGGCCCAGGCTGTTCAGGGTGGTCCCTATGAAAATCCTTTATGAGGTTAGGGTCTACAATGAAACGCGATGGGATCCACTGTCTCGCCTCCGGTCCATATCCTTCCCAGTCTACTAGGTACTGTCTACCCCGGCCCTGAGTGCGTACCGCCAACAACTGCTTGACCTTATACACCGGACCGCCGTCTATAACTTCTGGTTGTGGCGGGGGTGCAGCAGCAGGGACCATCGGGCTCTCTTTCGCAGTCTTGACCTGGCTGACGTGGAAGGTGGGGTGAGCACGAAGGGATCGAGGCAGGCGAAGACGGACCGCCACAGGGCCGATGGTCTTAGTGATGGGGAACGGGCCCACGAACCGTGGAGCCAGCTTCCTTGAAGGCACCTTGAGGTTGAGGTTCTTAGCTGACAACCACACTTTCTGACCTTGCCGGTAGGCAGGGGCGGGTCGTCTCTTGCGGTCTGCAGCCTTCTTTACTCTGTCCCTTTGGCGAATCAGCACCTGCCGGGCGGCTGCCCAGATGCGACGGCAGCGACGAATCATTGCAAGAGCGGAGGGCACAGACACCTCCGGTTCATTGTCTGCAAACACGGGGGGAAGGTAACCAAACACACATTGAAATGGTGGGAAACTAGTGGCTGAGGTAGGCAATGAATTGTGGGCATACTCGGCCCAGACCAGGTACTTGCTCCATGTTGAGGGATCCTGGGCCACCAGACACCGGAGGCTGGTTTCCAGTTGCTGGTTGAGGCGTTCGGTCTGGCCGTTGGCCTCTGGGTGATATCCCGAGGTCAGGCTGGCCTTCGCTCCGATGAGCCGACAAAAGGCCCTCCAGAACCGGGAAACAAATTGGGGCCCCCGGTCCGAAACTATGTCCTTGGGGAAGCCGTGGATCTTAAAAACATTGTTCATCATTACCTCCGCCGTTTTCTTGGCGGAGGGTAGTTTTGGCAGAGCAATGAATCTAGCCATCTTAGAAAATCTATCCACAACTGTGAGGACAGTG